ACTACTTAAGGTAGTGATACATATGGAGATGTGATTTGATCAATGGCTTTGAGTCCTAAATATGAAACACGAGAGATGGGTATGACTTATTTAAATATGTAAGTACGAGTGGAATGTTCTGATGGAACTCGGTCTTAGTGACCATCTTCCCGATAATGTCTAGTAATATGATGTGTTGCATGTGATGATGATCTCTTCATAAAGTCTCTATATTTGCCAAAAAGAAATTTTTGTCAAGATTTTGATAACAATTATTTAGTCATTTTTTGTTTTAGATATAATTGTAATATGAACTTTACGGCTTGTTTTTGTAGCTGTAAACATGACTTGGTAGGTGAATGCAGTAAAATAATTTTTGAAGACTAAACATATATTTTAATATTAAATTGGTTGTTTTTAGAAAAAACCTGAGTCTTTTTTTAAGAAAATCATTTTAAACCATTCATACTATTATCTAACCATTGCTTGAGATATATATACCAAGTCTACTTTTTTTAAAATGGAGAAAACCATTATGCCTTCAAGGTATTTATAAAATTGAGAGAAAAACTGTCATGCATAGGTTTTTAAATATCCATATGTCTTGACTCATGTTTATAGTTATTTAGAATCCTCAATTACCTAAGACCTTGAACCATATGGAATATTGTAGAAAGGCTATCTTACTAGGCTTCCTTGACACATGTTATATTGAATAGATAACTTGGTTTGTATAGATTTACTACCAAGATGACTAGTGTAGTTGAACCTTTATGATTTATAAAGATTTTACATATTGTGAAACCAATGGCCATTGAATTACTTATTGCATGAGACTTGCTATGCTATCTCATGACATAGATATAAGAATGTTGAGAATGTATATATTGTATGTGCAATAATTGAGTGGGAGCTGCTACAGTCCCACGTTTTTTTTACCTGTTTGGGTATCAGATATACAGATGCAAGCTATCTCAAGAATTCAAATGATGTGAATTCTCCTTTTGAATGATTGCTCACTCAACCCTCAGACTATTCTATTTTTCGTATATTTAGTTATACATGCTTAGTTCTGTTGATTGCATATGAACAGGACAAATTGTCAACCAAAGCAGTTAAATGCTTTTTTCTAGTTTATCCTGACCACCAAAAGGCAGTACCTAAATTGTCCACCCACCCAATGAACTCGATCTAGAGTATTTTCAAACTTACTGTTGCAAATAGAGGTTAACTATGTGGCCAATAGACGAACCCAACATGATTTTATGTTATCAAGGTTGGGTTTATGTGGCCTTTAAAAGCCTTATGAGAGCTTGTATGAGCATTTTATTTAGTAGAACATAAACTTAATGGGAGTGTAGTTCTTTTGTGAACCATACTAGGATATTGTTATTTGCTGATACTCGGACTAGGCTCGACGAGCTAGGCCAGCTGAGGTTTGGAAAAACCCAAGATACTTGGGCATAGGGATCTACCGAGAAGGGTTTAGTGGGTTATCCCTTGATGAGGTCGGAGAATGCCCAGATGAGAGTCAAGGGACTGTGTGGCCCTGACGTATGATGAATAGCCTTTAGAGACAGTGCTAAAATCTCATCGTTATATCATCATACGACATGTATATAATAGTTGTTTTGAGATTCACCAATGAAGGTGAAGCGTGTACATGTGCGAGAAATTATCCCTATGCACTATAGAGTCATGGTTGCATCATGGTCTGGAGGACCATAATTTTTGTCTCTAGGGGGAACTTGAAATCCATAAACTGGGATTGCGTCCTCTAATCTATTGGCTGATTTTGGCGGTCTAATCATGAACCCCTGCAGTAGACTGTGGGTCATGGGAACTGCTGGGTTAGTTTGAGAAAGCGAGACAAATCGTGATTCGCGGTTGAAGGTGGAGTTCCAATATATTGATAATTTCCTAGATCTAACGGATACGAATCCCATCAAAATTAATTAATTTTATGTTATGTGATTTTTAGATTGTTTATTTGAATTTTTGTGAATCTTATGATATTTTATTTTTGTCATTTGGATCTATAAATTAAAATAAATTAATTTTTCAATGTTTTAAATAAATATAAGATTTAAAAATTCCAAAAATGAAATAAAATATTTTCTAAAAATATATGGACCTCCATAAAACATGGGGCCCAAAATTTAAAAAGATGTGGATTAGGTGGGGCCACATGTGGCTACCAAAAGGGGGCACGCCCACCCATTCACATAACATTAAGAATACTGTTTATCCTCTTGGTTGGCTTATCTTTTTAGGTATAGCCAACTTATGTGATAAGGTTAAATATTTGAGATATTTACTAAATCTTTGAATCAAGATTGGTTGATCTAATAATTAAGGATTTGATATATTAAAATATAACTTTTCCTTATGGGAATAGATTTAAGAAAGGGAGGATAAGGTTTTAGCTCATTCGATATATTAAAATATAAGTTTTCATTATTTGATGGGAATATATTTAGGAAAGGGAAGATAATGTTCTAGCTCATCTCTTTAAATCTTGATGATAGATCAAAGAGATGGATAGCTCAAATCTCTCACCCCACAAGTCTCTTTAGATTGACGGTTGAGATTCGACCTTACGAATTGAGACAAAATCTATGGTATAAAAAATCTATAAAATGAGGTTTTCCTGATACGTATTATCTTCTTTCTCTTTAAGAATTCTCTCTCTTTACCCCAAAATTTAGCTATATCTGAAAAGGACTTTGGATTACTAAAGGGAAAGGGCTTTAGATTACCAAAGGGAGGCACGCCCCAATTTTTATCTCTCTTCAAGTTGCACCATGTTTTGATGGCATACATCACTTCTGTTCTTTATGGGTGGCAAAGAGGTGGAACCCTAGTATATCTCTCCCTCTCTCTTCATATTCATCTCTTATCTCTCTAAAATCAAGTTAAGAGGCTTGATTAAGATTAAGCTAAGATGCTTGATCAAGATTAAGCCATTGAGTGTCTCTAAAATCAAGCTAAGAGGCTTGATCAAGATTAAGCTAAGAGACTTGATCAAGATTAAGCTAAGAGGCTTGATCAAGATTAAGCCATTGAGTGGATTTTTGCCATAGTAAAGAAATCAACATACCGATCATAGATCCCGAGCACCATCGGAAGGAGGAGACTCGGCGTGGGGTGTACTAAGCCTGGTTGAGAGATTCTCCGACAATTGTGCCTTTTTAAATATTTACTTCTCTTCCCATAAAACAATAAAATCTAGTTTTGTTTCTTGAATAAATAATTGTATTTGAAGATGTAGCAATTGAGAACCATTTTTTTATTTATTTCAAGAGTGGTTCGATTATAATTGGACATTGTAAGTGATCTTGTTGGTGTAGGGGTAAAGTAAATTTTTTTTTATATTTATACCGTGGTTTATCATAAAGTCATTTCAATCAATGCTAATCAATTCAAAAGTTTATATACTAAAAGACCATTTATTTTTAGTATAAAGAGGTCTTAATCACTCTTAGCCACCAGATTTGAAATCCAACTATGATTGGTGTATAACACAGTCTGAAAATTTTTAGTATGAATTGTTTGCCAAATCACTCATATACTCCTGACCGTCTGATTTTACATCTAACGATCAATTGTAATTGTGACCATGTGCCAAGAGTAATTAGTCTTATTTTATACATTTCCATTTCAAATTTGGCGTGGAACAAGCACCACTTAGGAGCATTAGCCCCAGTACTCCCAATTTTCATTTGCACAAACATTAGGAGGGAAATATTTTCAAATTTAGTAAGTGTGAAAATATTAAATCTATCCCTCCCTTTTCAAACTCGAACCACATGTGTCCTAATAATGATGTTTGCGCCTTGTTCAACAAAAGATGTTTTCGATCAGGTAAAAGGAGTCTGCATCTTTTTACTATCTTTGAGACAATTGAGGAATGATGGGCCATGCAGGTTTGAATGGATGGTCCATGCAATCATCCACGCCGTATTTGAATTGAAGTATTGCACTGTAAATGAGGATCGGGCGATCCAGATGCACTGTGACATTTTACGTGGGGCGTTTCAGGAATTGAAATTGGGGTTGGACTTGAGTGGTTGCTGGTTGACATCAAGTAAAGCTACATTTCTAAGTTTTATTCAAATCGGGCTTAAACTTAGAATGGGTTGCTTCTTAGTACCATTTGCCCTATTCAGGCAAGTTTGTATCCTTCCAAACTAATAATTAATAAAAAAAATTGAAAAATATTAGAAAACGGCTCGGAATCCCAAGCCTTCCAACTTGGTCTAGTGGAAGAGTCCTAGTAGGATAGACAATGTTTTTTATTCAATAATTGCCATTCCCTAACTACTGATGTGGGCAATTGGCAATAAGATAAGCTGAAAATAATCATCAATGGGTGTATTTGGACTATCATTATCTTCATCAGCAGATATTTTTTCTAACTATTTGGGGTCGGCCACACGAATCTCAGTCCGTCATTTTGCTCTATCAAACATCATACCTTCATTTGGATTATAGTCTTAAAATATGCTTATCTTTATTGATCTGGATTGGTTCGGTCTTCACATAACAAAGAGAATCAGTCTGACTGGGCAAGAACCGCCCAATTTTATCGAAGAATGGAGCAATTTAATAAAAAAACTCAAAACTGATAGAGAATCGGGCAAGTCCCGCCATACTTAAAGTTTTAATATATTTTTTATTTTATAATTTTTTTGAATATCTTTTTTATCCCTGAGATTAAGATGAATGGGATTGGAATTGTTTATCCAAATCACTTAACACAAGGCTGATCCGGACCCATTCCAAGTTTTAAATCCCGATTTGGAGTACTTCATGACTTTATGTATTTGTCTAGAGATGGGTATATTTGTAATTCTATCGTGGTAAGAAATCTTCTTTCCCATGCATATGGGGGACCTGTACTGTTTTTCAGCATGGACAGGCCTGCCGCAATTCACGCAAAGGAGATGGGTAAATGAATATTTTGAAGGATACAAAATTACCCCTATTTCGAAGAATTATCTCTTTGTAGGCCCACATTCGGACGAAAATAAAAAGTTTGATATGACACAGCAAACAAAATTAACAAAGGGAAACTTTTTCACATTGAAATGAAAGGGTGTTAAAGCGAAAAAGGCGAATATAGAAAAGTTCAAAACTCCCCTTGCAAACACCCCTAAAACTGGCACTAACACTAGAAATCAAATCTATAATAGCATTTGCATTTGCATTTGCATTTGCAGTTGCAGGAAAAGATGGCTTCTCCTTCTCTTGCAGCTTCCTTCTTCCTCCTCTTTCTCACTCTGCAAAGAGCCTCTGGCATCGGCATGAACTACGGCACCATGGGGACCAACCTCCCCTCCCCGAAGCACGCGGCGGCCGTCCTCCAACACACCCTCATCGACAAGGTTAAAATCTATGATACCAATCCTACAATCCTCCAAGCATTTGCAAACACAGGCATATCAGTCGCCGTGACTGTCGAAAATGCCCTTATCCAAAACCTTAGCACCGGAGGGCCTCCAGCTGCTGCTGACTGGTTTTCTTCCCAAGTTGCCCCATTCCTCCCTGCTACCCCGATCACCCTCATATCAGTCGGGAATGAGGTTCTCGCCTCTGACAGCCAGAATTACGATCTCGTTCCTGCCATGAGGAACATTCAATCGGCGGTCGAGATGTCAGGTCTTGGCCGCCGGATCAGGGTGTCGACGGCTCATAGCATGGCTGTTCTGGGAGCTTCCTTCCCCCCTTCGGCCTCGACTTTTGATGAGAAGCTTGAAGGGGTTATGAAACCACTACTTGAGTTCTTAGAGGAGACGGGAGCTCCATTTTTGGTGAATGCTTATCCATATTTTGCTTATAGGGATAACCCAGAGGTGGAGCTGGAGTATGTCCTGTTTGGTAATGCAACAGGCGTGAAGGATCCTGCTGGTTATGAGTACAAGAACATGCTCGATGCTCAGGTATATCTTTGTAGGAAGCGTAATGTTATCGTTTTACGACCTTTGTAAATGACCGTGCTCTATTCGCATCTTCTGGGGCTTTTGCTCTAGTTCCGACTCTGCCTCCCTTGCTTTACTCCAGTTGGCTTTTCTGCTGCAATTGAAAGCAATATAGTCGTTGTTTCTTTTTTTTTTTTCAAACTCTTTTTAAGAAAAAGATGCGTTGTTATGCATGACTCATATTTTGAGACACTATGGTGAGGTTTTAGTTTCTTGAGTTTTCTATTCCTATTTTAGTCTAAATTTCCAACGGTTCAAAATATTTTTTAAAAAAGTGATTCTAAAGACCGACTTTTCCTTTAGCCGAAGTATATATCAAGGTAATTCAAAAATTCAACTTTCGAACTATCTAAAACATAAAAACCTGAAATTTGGACGGTTTAAAAACTTAATTTTTAAACTTCTTAGCATTTTTGTTTTTTTTTTTTTCTTTCTTGAGATTTTCTTTTTTTGTGCCGTAGGCGGTTTATATAATAGCCAAAACACATGAATTATGATCGTAATCGTTATTATTATTCTTATTATTATTTTGTTTTTATTTTTATTTTATTTTTTTCCTGTTTTGAAAATGCCCAAATACTTGAACTTTTCTTGCTCTTGGGTGGGTTCGTAAGTTAGGACTTTCGAAATGAGGGTAACATGGGAATAACAAAGCTCTACGACCTCCATACAGTATGCTGTCTTACATGGGACCAGCCAGTAAATTTCGCTCTTTTTTAATCCTGACTTCTTATCAACTTCGTGGTTGTTACTTTAAAAAAATTGAAGATAATTTCTATTTTTTAAGTATTGTTCCTAAGGCTTTTTGTTGTTATTTCATCCTTGCAGGTCACGCACTCTCTAATATTTATAGAGAAATTTGTCTCAATTTATTTAAAATATTAACTATTTAATAGTTTGCCTTCTTATTTTTTTATTCAATTTCAAAATACCCACCAAAGCAGCATGATTTTGAATTTGAATAGTAGAAAAAAAAGGGGCTAAGAGTACTTTTACCCTTTTTCTATTTTCTTCTTGCCAAAAAAAAAAGTCAAAAAAGGGTAAAAATACAGCTCAATTAACAACATGTTTGCATTTTAACGCACCATTTTGTTGAAATTTTTAAAGGACATGTACTCACTTACTCAAGGAGAGATAAACACAACTCAATTTTACTCAAGTTTTTTTCCACGCATTGACGTTTCAACCGCATGCTCTTTCAATTCAAGGAACCCAACTATATATGTGATTACAACACAACTGCCCACTACCTAAATAACTACCCATTACCTAGATAATTACTCATTAGATTGTCCAACACGCTGGTCAGTTTATACCCAAGCTTCTTGTCTATAAGCGTCAGGGTAAGGGGATCTCTCCTCCCCACTGAGCTTATAAGGTAAGGGGATCTCTCCTCCCCATTGAGCTTATAAAGAGAGAGAGAGGGAGTTAACTCCCCATTACACCACTATTATTTTTTTTTTCATCATCCTTTAACACATTTGACAAATTGCAATTTGGACTGATCTAGAATTTAGTCACATAAAATTTGATCTCCATGATATTTTTTTAATTCAGTTTTTTAATAATTCTATTGATACTCAAATTGAATATTTTTCTTGTTTTGCAAATTGAATAATTCATCATTATTCTAGTTGAAGTATTTCAAAGAATGCCCTCCCACAGCTCATGTATATTCTTAATGAAGGTGGATGCAGTGTATGCTGCAATGGCAGCTTGGGGGCACAACGGCACCATAGGAGTAACACTCTCAGAGACAGGGTGGCCGTCAGCAGGTGGAAAAGGCGCGACGCCGGAAAATGCCCGTGCTTACAATGAAGGGGTTATAGCACGAGTGAGAAGCCGAGCGGGCACTCCAATGAGGCCAGAGCGAGGCCTGGAGGCCTATCTCTTCGCATTATTTGATGAGGATAAGAAGACAGGGCCACCAACAGAGAGGAAATTTGGGCTCATGAGATCTGATGGAAGTGCAGCCTATGGGGTCGACTTGAGTTGTCAGTTTTGTAGTCAAGAAAAAACTCGACCAGGGTCTGGAAGTCGGATTGGAAGGGGCAGTGGAGCATCAGTGTGGTGCGTGGCCAAGCCCCATGCTGCCGAGGCTGCTTTGCAAGAAGTGCTGGAGTTTTGCTGTGGGGAGGGCGGGGTGGATTGCGGGGCGCTGTACGGAGGTGGTGCATGTTATGAGCCGAACAAGGTTCATGCTCACGCCTCTTATGCCATGAATACTTATTACCAGATGCATGGGAGGAATTACTGGAACTGCGATTTCAAGGGCATTGGGCTCGTCACTTTCACTGATCCAAGTGAGTCCCCCGTCTCTCTCTCTCCCTCTCATTTATTCACTTGTTCTCATCTGCTTGTTTATTTGATTTTCAGGTTATGGAGTTTGTCAGTATCCTCAACAGTAGCATCACTGGATGCAGCGCTCTGATATCATCTGTGTCTACAGTCTGCCAAATACTTGTATTACTACAATAGTAAATCTCTTACTACTATAGGTTCTTGCAAGTAGCATCTTTAATAGACTTTGTTCTCTCATCTTATATACACATGCGTTAAGATACACTGAAAAGCACATCAGCTCCAAGCTTCAAGGCCCATTCCAAAGCTTTCTAGGCCCAAAATTACTCTCCACAAAGTGTTCGTCATAAGTGACATTCCATACTTTATAATGTTCTCCTTGGTTTGCGCCAAACTTTGTCCTTTAAATCTCTAATCGTGCTTGGTTTGTAACCATCACATGGCATGGTTCTAGGTCCCATGTAGGCGTGGCAACCTGGTGAGGTGGGGTCCAAGTCCATTTGACCAGATATTCAACTCAGCGCCTAGGGGCCCGTCTATTTGACCCAGACTCAATCTGGATAGGGTCAAATCCCCTTCTGGATCCATTCTGGACCTTATTGGGTCCGGTTAGGTCTGGGCCGGGGTGAACTGGCGCGATATTTTGTAAATACATATATAAAATTGGGTGTAGCGCTCATGAAGTTGCAACTTTAAATAATCGAATAATCAAAGTAAGACGCACTTCGAAATTTTATCATACCATATAATTTTGGTGTAAAACATACTTAGGGTGGCTTGAGAATTTATATCTCTGGTTATATAATTTTAAACTTCAAAAATTGTTCAAATCATGTAGATTTATAAACACAGAAAAATCTTAAAATGGGCCGTCCAGATAATGTGTTGCAATATGCATTAATTTTGGTACTCGAAATATGTTTTTTTCACCTCCATTCATCTCAATGTCGAGGTAATCAATTAGAGATATTTCCAAATCTTTTTAGATGGATTTTTTCAGGTGCACCTCAATTTTACATTCTACAGTTGCAACCTCATTTAAAGTTTTCCAATAAAATTTATATTTTTGTAGTGGGACTTCGATTGGGCTGGGTCCATTGACCTGGACTTGACCCCAGGTCTAGGTCAGGTCCGGATTCAAATAGAACCTAGTCAATTCAGGGTGGACCCAGACTTGATCCGACCTAACCCATTTACACCCGTAATCCCTTGTTCCCGTATCATTGACATACAAAGAACTACAACGAAAACTTAACTGGCAGTGTGCGTCATATGTGACTTCATTGTCCATCGCCGTGATATCGACATACCCCGCCCTTGGTCCAACTTAAAACAACATCATGATTTTTTCCTGAAACTCTGGTTGGAAATTACGGTTGTAGTTACAAAAATTGAATATCATGATCCTCTTTTTTTTATTGAAAAAAGTTTAAATAAGGTGTCAACTTTATGCTACACAAGTAGGGCATACTCAAAAAATTTGCAAAAAAAAAAAGTCATGTTTATGTCAAAAAACCCTTCAATTGATCATCTCTACCTCGATATATATGGATGCAAAAATAGAAAAAGGATTTCAAGTCCTCGATATATATGGATGCAAAAATAGAAAAAGGATTTCAAGTCCTGAAAATAGTGCGTCTTCTATGTTATGTGACCATATGTTTTCAAGATTTTTAGCCGTTTACATAGAGCCGAAGCTATAAAAAATCAAAGTAAAACATACCTTCAAATAGTATCGAGAAATGTGGTTTCAATACTGGAAATCTTTGTGATAGCTTTAAAATATATTTTCATCTTTAATTATAAATTGTAAAGCTTCAAAAATAGTGTAGATCAAGCATATCTATAAAATCTTGTAAATTGACGGTCCAAAAATGCATTTCAAGATGCACTATTCCAAAAACTTGAAATCCATTTTTTTCAATGTTCATGCATCTTGATGTCCAGATGATCAATTTGGGGATATTTGGGCATCAAAACAACCTCTTCTAGTGAAATTTTGAGGTGAGCTCCAATTTGATAGTTTAGAGCCTTGGTTCTATATAAACTTTTTCGTTCATGCTTGATCTATATAATTTTTAAAGCTTCAAATTTTAAAATTAGAAATGAAAATAAATATGCAGGCCTTTACAAGGATTTTTTTTTATTGAAATAGCATCATTGGCATTATTTGGAAGTGCACATTATTTTGATTGTTTAAGGCACCAACCTTATACAAATGTCACCTTTTTTTTCATGGAAAAATATCTCACTACTGAGAAAGTTCACTTCTTAGAAATATCCTATATATGTAGAATTGTAGGTGGGAAAAGAGGAAGGAGTCAGATTTAGCCCAATGCTAGCAAGAGTAAGAATATGGTTTATGATGCCTCGACATCAAGGATACTAAGTAGCATAATACGTAAAGAAAAGGGCAGATATGAAAGAACGTAGCTAATGCATCAGATGGGTGTCAAGTAGTTGATATTATACCTTCAAGACCGGAACTTTTTATTTTCAAAGTTGAATCTATCAAACTTGATGAATCATTAGCGAGTAATCCCAATGTGGGTGGATTTGGTCTAGGGGATGTAGAAATGGTACTTCAAGATCCATTACATATTCAAGGTATTTTTTTTTTTTGGCATATATTACTCTGGCACATATTTGTTTAGTTCTTAAAAAGAAACAATTGAGTTCAATTGGCTATAACGAATTTCTAGATCAAAAAGAGCCAAAATACAATGGCAATCATATATGATAAAAAAAATCTTGGAAACCCCTTTTCGTTTTTATACTTTTTTTTTTTTTTTTTCTAGCTGGAAATCGGGAATTACTTGTATTATGCTATCTCGTTACCTTTAGTAATAGCATTTCGAAAGAAGTTAATTTGATTCAATCAAAATAAGAATTGTTCTGACTATATTGGGTCTCCTATTGCTGGCCAAATTGTAAATGGTATTTCTTTCTATTCTATTGTGCCCGATAGCGTACCCAATAGACGGTGAGAGGAAGATAAGAGGGTTAAATGAATGAAAAAGCGATTATGAGAATCATTATGCATCTCCCTAATCTTATGAGAAATCAATCTTCTGATCTTTCATCTGCTGAGAAATCCATCCTCTAATCTTTGGTTGTATCAAAATAATAATGATTATAGATCCCGTTCATCAAATACTCAACATAGGTTTATCGAAACCCTTTGGATTCATATCAAAAGAAGTTTCGAACAAGGGAGGTGACTTAGTGAATTGTTGAAATAGAACCGGGGGAGGGCTTGGCACAATTCATGCAAAGAAGTGACGCATGTTGTAATGAAGGTGTGGAAACCTTGCCCGTATGAAAGTTTTTCTAAAAGAAATAAAACCTTGACTTTTTTTATTTCTTATTTGTCTAAATTTTACTATTTGTTATTTTGTTTACCATTTATTCGATAGTAAACATGCAGAAATTGCTCCTAGCGTTCCTTCTTAAAATATCGCTAGCTAAAGAAAAATAAAGAGAGGAGGTTGTTCCTTTGCAAATGTCAAGAAAGAAGTCGATCATCACGACATATCTGGAGACAAGAAGAGCACGGTTCAAAAAGAGGGAGAGCATGAGAAAAAATGGACTTGACCATTTTGCAAACAAAACAAAAATAATAAAGGCAATTTATTTACAGCCCCTAAAACGTAGGGAAAATACAAAATGATCCATTTATAGTCCAAAATTACAAAGGTTGGTTAAGATGCGATTTTTTTTTTCAAAATTGCCCCTAGGTCTCAAACCTCTTGGAATGCCACGTATCAAAAGAGCATAAGGCGTCCAAGGATGGCAATCTCCTAAGGGAAATGAAGTTTCAAGCGGTCCAAAGATGTCAACCTCGGATCGCAAATGAAGTTATAAGCTCTCCGAGGTTGTGAACCTCAAACCGCATTATTTACGTTACACCAGGAGGCGGTCCAAGGATGTGGACCTCGGACCGTGTTGTTCACGTTACACCAGGAGGCGGTTCAAGGTCAGCATCCTCGAACTGGAAATAAAGTTCACAAGGCGGTCCAAGGATTCCAACCTCGTACCGCAAATGAAGTTTGAAGCGATCCGAGGATGCCAACCTCTGCGTTATTCGCATTACACCAAGAGGAGGCAGTCCGAGGTTGACATCCTCGGACCGACGGGCAATTTCGAAAAAAAGAAAAAGAAAAAATGGTGCTTTGACCGACGTTCTTTGTGATTTTGGGATATAAACAGAGCATTTTATACTTTGCCTGTTTTCTAGGGGCCGTTCGTAAATTAATTAAAAAAACTGCCTTATAGAGAACCAAGATGTTGGAAAATCGTGACTTATACGCAGAATCCAAACGAATAATCTCTTTTGGAGTCTCCAAATTTGGGTACACCTTCTCTCCTTTGTTTTGTGCTCCTCCTAAATATTATTCCTTTTGCCTTGGTTTTAAGATCCTTCCATATATTGTTCTATCCTCAGTCATGAATATCTGTATTGCTTTTAGAGAAGGAGGAGGTTGTGGGGAGGAGGAGGAATATGGGGCAAAAAGATCATGCAAGATTGGTAGATGGGTGCAATTCCATCTTCTTTATGATAGTGTGCGCCATGGTTTTGGTATCTGAGTTGGGTCTGGCTCAGCCAATTGCTCAGGACATGGAAAACCAGCTGAGGACTTCTGTAATTCATGTAAGTCAGCCAAGAATGGCAGTGGCGAGGTACATGGCGGATCGAAGAATTTGGTACCAGTCGTTCTTGCAGAATTCCATTGCTGCAAGTGAATCCGAATCGAGAATGATCTGTGTGTATAGCCATGTGATCGATGGCTTTGCAGCAAGGCTCACCCCTTCGGAAGTAGAATCCATGAAAACAAAAGAGGGCTTCTTGCTTGCCTATCTAGATAGGATCCACACCCAGCAAACAACGCGCGCTCCTCAGTTCCTAGGCCTCAGTCCCAAACAGGGCGTGTGGCCTGACACTGGATTCGGCAAGGGCACGATCATTGGTGTTTTGGATGAGAGGCATATATCCAGAGCACCCATCTCTGAATGACACAGGGATTCCTCCGCCGCCTAAGAGGTGGAAATGGTTGTGCGTGGATGCCGGCCCTGACTTCAACTCATCACATTGCAACAAGAAGCTAATAGGTGCCCAAGTCTTCCTCAAGGGAGCTGGTGTCACAGAATCACCGCGAGATGGTAATGGACATGGCACGCACACGGCCACAACAGCCGCCGGGAGGTTCATGGCTGGGTCCGAATTCATGGGCTTAGCTAAGGGCACAGCGGCGGGCATGGCTCCCCATGCTCACATTGCAGTCTATAAGGTGTG